GGCAGGACCAGCTGGAGCAGCAGCTCTGGAACAGAGGATGGGCAGTGGGTCGGTGCCCAGGTGAGGGCAGAGCAGATGTGGGGATGGTGCAGTGCTGGGTGAGCTCATCCCCACCAGGATCTGCTGGATCCACAGGAAAAGCATCAATTCTGATTCACTGCACCCCATCAGCAGTGTGAGGGACACAGCTGCTCTCTGAATTTCATTGCAGCCATATCACTGCTGAAGATAACTCCAGGACGTGTCATCAGTCTTACATCAAGTACAGCATGTGTTTTGCCTTTCAGTCATATTTACTTTAACTTCAGAAGAAGATTAAATAAAGTTTCCAGTGATATGCAACAACTGTTCTGAGAAGGTGAGAATTCAATTGAAAAAGGAAAGAGAGGAAACAAAAAGCCCACAAATAGAAAAAAAATAGCAGTACTCTGGATGACTTTTAAAGGTTTTTCACCTCTAAAACAGGTTTCTTGGAAGAATTTAACCAAGTGGGTAAAAGACTGTTTCATCACCTATTATTAGGATTTTATCCCTCTACTTCCATGGGGCAGATTTCCAAATGGTGAACTGCTTAAACACTACAGACAACACACGCAAATGCAGAATTTTAATTTCAGTAAACTGCCAATTTAAAAAATGAAGTGGCATGAAATACAGCAGGAGGGGAGTCTGGCATCAGCAGGGTGCACAGGGAGATTTTCCTGCTAACTGGAATCTTTCCCACAGCCTGGGGACAGGTGGCATCTTGTGTTATTTTTAATCTRCTCAAACATATTATTTAAATGTTGTGAACTTGAAGTCAAACAGGAACATCTTATAAACATCAGGAAAACGTGCAAAAGGCAGCGACTGCAGGGAGATGAAACCCTGATCTGGTGATGAAAGCACCTGAACCTGTGCAGTCACAATGGCCATGGAGCGCTTGTTCCAGGCTGTCCTGCCTTGTACCTTGTTTTCTGCTGCCTGAGCAGCCAAGTCAGCCTTTAAATTCGTGTTTAATCGGTTGGTAAATGGGGCAGTTTATTACCTTCCTGCAATTCTGCCTTTCACCTGCACTGCAGCAAAGCAGCACAAGTGCTGGAGCTCAGCCCTCCGCTCCTCCAGAGCTCCTGCAGCCATTCCAGAACTGGATCAGCTTTAAGCTCCCTCCCAACTCAAACCATTTGGGGATTTGTCATTAACTTGGGCACCTTCKAATGCTGGTAGGTTGTGAAAAGGTTTAAGGGCAGCTGTTGAGAGTTTTTACAGTCATGAAAGCTTTYAGAGCTGTAAGGCCTCGAGCCCGAAGCATCACCCGTGGAGCTGTTTCTGAAGGTCCAGGGTGTCCCTAAAGCTCCTCACATTCACCTTTGTACCCTCGGTGCAGGGGAGCAGCTCCACCTCACACACAGCTGGGCTCCTGTCAAACCACCCCGGGTACCAGGAGTGATCCTGAGCGCTGCCTTTCATCACCCACAGCTCCGGGACACTTTGAGCTTCATTAATACACTCCATTCAATCCCCCAGTCCTCTGTGATCTGGTCTCACTGCTCTGATCACAAGAACTGAAACCTGGACTTGTGATGGRGCCCAGATTAGAAAGCCAGTCCTTTGTGAGTGACAAGGTGGTGTTGGGGAGTTTTTTTAAACCTATTTCAAGTTACAGTTCATGCACTGTGGTTTAATTGCATTTGCCCTCCAGCCTTTCTGTTAAAAATAGAACAGAAACCAGCACTTCCAGGATGGAAATGAGAATGAGAAAAAGGCCTTGTAAAGAGGAAAATGCTGTTTGGAGAGGAAGAATAATTATTGCCACAGGTATAATAAAGAGGGAAGGAGTCGGATTCTGTGTCATATCCAGCGGCCAAACTGAAGTTATTGAGACCTCTCAAAATGAGGTCAGGCTGTTGCTGGAGGCAAAGGGAGAGCTGCAGGTTATGGCAGAGCTCAGGGATTGATCTGCTCTACCTGAAATTCTGAGATGCAACAGTAAAAGCCCTGAGCTGGAAAGAATTCAATCCATGGCTTTGGGGAAATTTCCCTGAAATTCTGTTCTGAGCTGGGCCCAAGGAGGAGCCACAGGGGACAGCGAGGAAAGCTCCACTCCAGAATCACCCCGAGGATGTCCCGTCCCACCCTGGGATTTCTCCCACACTCCTGATGTGCACAGGACCCCCAGCTCGGGGTGAAGGGTCCAGAGGGAGGGGAAGGSTCCCAAAGCCCCGGGTCCCACCACACTGGGATGGAACCACATTGTCCAACCCAGCTTTCCTCAGTGCCAGAAAGGGCTGGGCATTGGCAGCACTTGGAGAACAGGCAGCTGCTCTCCCAAAGGGATTCTCATCAGAAAAGTGTGGTTAATTAACACAAGAGCTCTAATTAGCTGGTRTTTCTAAGGAGCTCTGAGAGGCTGAGGTGAAAGGCTCGAGATTCATGCAAARTGTTCCTGTACGTGGCCAGCAGTGGTTTATCAATCACCATCAGCTCTCCCCACTCTATGGCATCACCCCAACATGAGGATCTGCCCTCCCCTCTGCTCCTCAGCCCTTCTGGGTCCTTCCCTGAGCCCAAATCCTGCAGGGATGTGCCCGGTGCCAGCAGAGCCTGTGAGGGGAGAGCAGGGACAGGGACAGGGCTGGGAGAGGAGGATCCTGAGCTGGAGGAGGAGATCAGGGGCTCAGGAGGGTTCAGGGTGCTCAGGGGTTCAGGGTGCTGGGAGGTTCAGCGGTTCAGGGTTCAGGGTTCAGGGTGCTGGGGGGCTCAGGGGCTCAGGAGGGTTCAGGGTGTTTAGGGGTTCAGGATGCTCAGGGTGCTGGGGGGCTCAGCGGGCACCCAGCATGCACACCCTGACAGGGATCACAGGGTCTGTGACCATCTCCAGGCTGGTTTGGTTTGGGGTTGGATTMCTGGGTCGCCATCAATACGTGCTGAAGGCACCGAGAGCTTTTAAGGCAAAGGCACCGAGTTTCTCTCATGATGTGCAGGTTTGTTCCTCCCACGCTTCCCCTCTCTCCCAGCTCCCACCCAGATGGGTTTCTCAGCCCACTCAGCTGTAAATGAGGACCAGGCTTGGCAAGAGCAAAACAAAAGGCAGCAGCTCTCACACAGCAGGACAGAGGCGTTGGAAGCAAGGGGGAACAGTTTTAATGTTTTAATGAGTTTTAATGGATTGRAGGGGCACAGAGCAAACCAGGCTGCAGAAATTCGTTTTGCTGTGTGGACAAGTTTTAGACTGGAGATTTACCAACTTTGACGCCTAAAACCCAGTAAGAATTAATGTTGCTTTCTCACTCCCCAGCTCACTTCAGGGAAAAAGCAGCTGCTTTTCTTTTGGGTACAGTCTTTCCTTTACTCAAAGTCCACACACAGMAGGCATGACCCATGGGCAGGGAATATTGCTGGGAATCGACCTGAGAAAAACCCCAAACATCAGTGAAAAAACACAGCAAAAGCAGGTGCCCTTGCTCCTGTGGAGCAGTAAGAAGCGTGTGTTGCCACAGGATAAGGTCAGAGGGAAAACAAACATCATTTATGAAACATKAAAGACATCTCAGCAAAGCACTTTCACCAGAAGGAGACAGAGCACTGTCTGCAAGGACAGCCTGAAACCTGCAGCTTTGCCATTTATGATTCYTCTCCTGCAAATGCATGTGCAGACACACACAGCCCTTTCCAGCTCACGGTGTCACCTCCTGTCACCCCAGGGAGCACAGCAGCACCTGGCACTGACAGGACTCCCACTGCAACCTCCACAGATCTGCTGCTGCATCCCACCTGACCTGTCACAGCAATTCCACCATTTCACTCCTTTGCAAGTGATTCACAACAGGGACCCAGGGCTGGCAGCACGGATTGTCCCAAAACACAGTCCTGCTCCAGCCTGGAGGGCTCAGCTCACCCCAAAATCACCAGAGATCCCCCACAAACAGAGCAGAGCAGAGCAGAGCAGCAGGATCAGATCAGAGGGGACGAGGGCTCTGCTCTGCTGCAGCTTTTCCTTGGCCATTCCCCAATTCCTCCTTTATCAGCTCCTGGTGCTGTCACTGCCTGTCCTGGGTGAGCCCCAGTCCTGGCTGCAGCTCTCAGTGACCGATGGTGAGGACACAAATCCAGAAAAGCTCCACACAGGAGTTTGCAGATTCTGTGTTCCATAAAAGCCCAGCAGAGTTCCCTGTGCCAGCAGAGCTGCAGTGCCTGGCACACACTCAGTGCTGCCCGCTCGGGGAATCAGCAGCTCAKGAACATTTCTGTGACCAACAGGGAACCCCTGAGAGTCCTGAGCTCTCCTTCTGACTGAAAACAGACCGAGTTTACAAGGCTGCCACTCACAACAGCCCTGGCAGAGATTTTGGGATTGGAAATACCATTGCAGCTATTACAGCAGTGTTAAACASCAAAATAATTCTGGTGGTTTGAAAGCAAAAGCTGCTGAGGTGGCTCGTGTGAGTGGTTTGTGCGTGGTGGCCTCGTGCCAGAGAGATTTGTGCTTTGGGATGGCACTGGCCCAGTCTGGGGCACTCTGTTAAAATGGGGCACTCCTCTGTTCAAATGGGGCAGTCTGTTAAAATGGGGCAGTCTGTTAAACTGGGGCACTCTGTTAAAATGGGGCACTCTCAGCCAGTCCAGCCGGTTTTCCTGCAGACATGAAAGCCCCAAGAGGCAGAGGAGGATCCCTGCCCTGCATGTTCCTCTGCTGCAGGTGACAAAACTGCCCTGCAGCTCAGTCTCTGTCACACAACAGCAGCAGCAATGTTATCAKTGATGAGCAGCAACCACCATCTCCAAAGTCTGCTGTCACAACAGGCAAAAAGTCCTTGTCTTATTCTGCCATTAAATGATCCTTGTTCTRAGGGGAAAGATTTAATGAATGCATCCGTATGAGCCATTAAGAACAAAATAAAGCAAGTGATAAAGGAAGAGAGAGGCAAAGAATGGACAATCCTCAGACATGTTTTCTGCCAATGTCATTCTTTATAYAACAGATGCAGTTTCTTTCTTTCCTCAGACGGGAAGATGGGCTTGACACCATCTCATCAACAGCAGCAGTAATAACAGCTCCTTGCTATTAATATGCAAATTGAAATGCACACACTGATTAAAAACATGTTCGACAGAGGCTTTTGTCAGAGCTGCCCGTGGGCTCCATTAGGGAGCAGTGGCCCACTACACAATCCATCACAAAGTCCACACTTGAGCCCAGGGCAGAAACTTCAGCAGGGACCAATCCACAGTTTAATGCACATTTCCTCTCCCTCTGAGACTGCAAACCCCAAACTGGGTCCTGCTCATCCCCAGCCCTGGGGGGTCCTCACAGCCCCTTGCTGGGGGACCAGGCTGGCACTGGGSCAGGTCACCACCTCACACAGGGCAGGATGCTGCCARCAGGAAAAATGAGACTTCCACAKTCTTAATTTGAAGATTATGGAAGGTGCTTTTAAAGGTCAGCCCTTGCTAATGAAGTTGATGCAATAGGAAGTTAACAAAGGAARCCCCAATTACGTAGCAGGAGCTTTCTTCCCCCATGGTTAATCCCAGTGTGAAGCTGCAGATCTCAGGGAGCCTCACGTTACCACAGCTCCATCACCTCAGACAAACCAGGGATCATTTGTGCTGGGCTGTCTGAGCATTAAACCCCACTGGAGTCAGTGTCCTGCCCTGACACAGCCTGACCCTGCACCAGAGCTGGAGAGCTGTGCTAACATGGGCTGCAAACCCAAAGATTGCAGTTCAGGGCTGTAATCCCACCTGCACTGGGATTCCAGTTAGCACTGACTGCAAAGTGAGTCTGGGGAGAGACCCAGACTGATGACAAATTCACATTTACTTGCTTTACAGAATTTTGCACAGAATTTTAAGTTGGAAAACATTTGGCCAGAACAGACAAAATCAAAGTGTTACGCATAGATGTTCTGCATAAAAMATCCAGAGTGTGTTTCTGTTTTTTAATTGAGAAAATATATGCAAATRTTTTCACCCTTCATTTTAAAGTAACCTGGGGGATGCAGTGGTTGCACTGAAGTTTTTGAAGCTCCCTAACACATCCACTCACACTTTTCAGCCAGAGGTCTTGGACCAGGCCTGACATCAGAGATCTGGCGACAATTCTACAGGGATCCCTGACTTACCAGGAGGGRATTTGTCTTTTTATGTCTTGCTTTGAAGGCCTAATGAACTTAGRAAAAGCAAGAGATTAGAAGGATTTAGGGACCAAAGCCTGATTGACTGGAGCAGGACAATATTGGCAACAAACAGAAATATTGCACTGCTGTGTCACTCAGGGGATGTGGGGTGGGATGTGGGGACCCTCCTGCTCTGCAGGGCCACACCATCTACCTGAGAGCTGCTGGATTTGTCTAAATTACAGACAGATCCTCTTTCTTTGGCCTCCTCACAGATCAACCAAGCCACCAACTCCAGGCCAGGCTGCAGACCCAGGAAAGGAGAGCCCCTTGCACGGGCTGGGAGCAGAGATTGCTCTCATTGCAGAGCTGTGTCCACACCTGCCTGCGGAAAGAAACCGTGTTTGKGCTGGAATTAATTTGCTGCAATTAGCTTGTAGTGATTACTAGAGCACACAGRAGATTTTTGGTTTTGTCTCCTGACAAAAATGCCTCTGCAGCACCCTGGGAGCTGCTTGCAGGAGGGTTCYTTTGGGGAAAGAAGGCTCAGAAGAGCCAGGCTTGAACCCTCATGACTGATGTGCCCTATTTCTGTAAATCATTCTCTCTGTAAAGAGGCAGTTTAGCTTCAGGAACACTGGCAGCTTGTGTTATTACCCAAAACACAATAAATGAAACCACCCCACAGCTATGAAACCCAAGGAGATGTTTACTCATCTGTGAAAAACCCATTCTCCTCCACACATGAAAGGCATTGATGCAAGAGCACAAATTAATCACACRGAGCTTCTGCAGTGTCTGAGCATCCCACAGAGTGAGGAGGGGAAGCTGCAGAGCTCCTGAGCATCCCTGGGCAGGACTGGGCCAGAGCAGCSCAGGGAGCTGAGGATCCTGAGCAGAGCTCTGGGATGCAGAGCAGGGAGGGGCTCTCCTCTGCCTCACTCCTCTCTCTGCTCAGATGCTCACAGGGAACTCTGCTGCACTGCAGAGAAGGAGTAACTACTCAGAGTTACTGCACCATCCTTCCTCAGCTCTCAGAAGGGCTGTGGGTCCTGGTGGGCAGAGCAGTGTCCAGCCTCAGCACTGCACCAAAGTCAACAGAGCAAACAGCTCCTGTAGAGTCTGCAGGAATCCTAAAAGAATTCACACTTTCATTTCAGTGCTCTTCACTCATGGAACCATTTGTTTCTCCAGAGACCAAGAGGGAAGGGAGGAACATCCACTGCACAATCCCCACGATTCACTGCTGTTGCTCTTTATGTGTTGACACAAACCATGCTGGAGAAGGTGAAGAAAGAATGTTTATTTCTGATTGAAGACTGATTACATCACTATCATGGATAATGYAGTGGAATAATCATATGTTCTTGAGAGAAGTCTGAGAATAAATATGAAAAAGTAAAATCGTTTGTTTTGAGTGTCCCTGAAGATGAGTGATGAGTAAGTGCTGTATTTACAGGATAGTTATCATACTCTAGACTCTGTGCTGAATAAATATTGTCCTGAAAGGGTAAAAAAATCCATCGAAATATTTTAACTCACCACAAAATTTAAAAAAAAAAAATCCATGTATCTGTCCAAAGCGAAGGTTAGTTACATGTTAATTRTTGAATCCACAAAGGATCAGTGTCCAAGAAAGCTCCTCTCCTGCTGAGCCTCTGCCCTCCCTGGGCAGTGTTGGTGCTCGTCCTCTTCTCCACTCATGAGCCACTATTGGTTCTTCAGGCTGCAAAGAGGAACCAAGGCCAAGTCATTCTCCATCCTGGGCTCCCACCCCACCCATCCTCATCATCCTCCATGCACGGGCACAGCCGAGGGCACCCAGCACTGGGAAAACCTGCAGCTCTCCCAGAATGACCAAAGGTATGTTCTGTGTGAGCCACGAGGAGACTTCCACTCTAAAAAACACAGAAACAAGCTCTTTCCACCTAAAGCATATTTGCAATTTTAAGGACAGACGTGTTTTAGGAAAGAAAACCACCACAGCCATTTGGAAAAGTTCTCCTTTCTTAAGTCCTCAATTAGAATTTAGGAGCCTCACAAATCCTGCCCAGCTCACCTCGTCCATGGCCCAGCACAGCTCAGCTGCTGAGGAATTCCTCACTGGAAYTGGCTTTGCAAGCTCAGCTTTGTGCTTTGAGCAATTAGGCCCATGTTTGGGTTTTACATTAAAAGAATTAATCTGTACACCCAAAACCACAACATAAAGCTTTATGRGCTGTTCTGGGGCTTTCAAATTATGATCAAAAGAGAAGATATCAGAGATATCTTTATTTTCACTTACATTATAAGGGAAGGGAGACAATTTAGATCCATAATGAAGGGAAGTATTACATACTCTCTGTTCCCTGGCAGTGTAATTATTCAGCTGTTCTCTGGAACTGAAACTGAAACTATGACAAATTAAAATGCTTTCAATTCCATCTACCTTTGGTTACTATTCATCTTCTGGAGCTGTAACTGCTGTAAAGGCTTCTTTAGGCAGAAGCCACGATACATTCCAGAAAGCACATGTTACACACAGAGTATTAACTGCTCCCATGTGCTACTGCAGCCACCAAGGYACAACTCATTTACTCTGATTTCCAGAAATTTACCTTCATTCTGAGTGAGGATGTGCAGGAGCACAACCTTCCAGCACCAGGGAATGGCTGGAAACGCCCAGGAGAAACAAAAATAACATTTAGCACTAAAAGTGTCCCAAGTGGAGCTGGGCCAGGCAGCCCCAGAGCCTCCCCTGGAGCAGCCACGTGTTGGCTGTGCCAGACACAGATCAGGCTGTCAATGTTGGTTCACACTTTCTTCAATAGAGGGGAAAAGGGATGTAAACACAACCATAGGAAAGGGTGACATTTCTCCAGGCACAATATTTACAATATTTTGATTAGCTCATTCCTGAATAGCCAAGCAGCTTATGTTGATAAATACCCTGTTTCAATTGGACATCTGTGTTCTCAGCCTGAAAAGAAAAAACAAAAGAAAAGAGAAAAGAGGAAAGAGCCWGCCCAGGCCCAAAGCTGCTGTCTCTGCTCCTCAGCAGGACTTGGACCAKCTGGGCTTCCACAGGGTGAGCCCAAAGCCAAGGCCAAGAGTTGTGCAGGRAGGGCTGCAGAGCCCCCTCCCCTCCTGGACATGASCATTCCTAACTCCATTCCTAATGCYCCAAAATTAACTCTGACACTGAATTGGTTTTACCCCAATGATGGCTGCAGGATTGGGTCCCAACTCTGCAAAAATCCTGGATTTAACCAGGCAGCCTGAGTCTGAAAGGGAAACCCATACATGTATTAGCATCTGTGAAAGTGTAAATGAAGGGTTATAAAACCCCGGAATACATTTGTGAGCTCTAGATGTGGCAGAGAGGTCTGGCTGATCAAAGAGACAAAAATGAAAGCAAGAAGATAAAATTCCTCTTTATGCAAGTGGGAATATTATCCCCACCCAGACTGTTAATTAGGAGGGCTGATCTCAGCCTTCACAGCCTGAGCAGAGAAGAGCCCTGAGCTCTCACCCTCCTGCACATCACTGCAGTGGGACAGACCCACAGCCAGCCCAGGGATGGGATTTACCCCAAAATGGGCCTGGGCTCTGCTCTGTGCTCTGCAGGGATGGGATTTACCCCAAAATGGGCCTGGGCTCTGCTCTGTGCTCTGTGCTCTGTGCTCTGCAGAAATCACCCCTGGTGCTCCCACCCACGTGCCCAGAGCAGATCCGGCCCTTGGAGTATCCTCTCTAAAGGCAGCTTCTTTAATTAGATGAAGTATGACCACACATCAAATGTTTGGTTGCTTTGGCAACTGCAGTCCAGTGGCTTCAGCCTGAGTTAGGAGGCAGGGGACAATCCTGACATTAACCAGCARTAATGAGAAGAGCAGAAATCAGTGGAGAGCACGGGCTGAGGAACGAGGAGGGGATGATCCTCACGTGCCCCAGCACAGAGCACACCTCAGTGACCCAKTGGGACATCCTGGCTGGGGAAACTCTGCAAAGGACCAGGGCTGCATTTCCAAAGTCCCTTGCTTTGTATAGAAGAGGTAATTGCTTGGAAAAAGCTAGAGAAGCACAGATGCAGCCCTGCCAGGGCACCCTTGTGTGGGTGAACTGGTGACACATCTTCCTGCCCATCTCTCTTTCCCATCCAATGGCAAAATGAGCCATTAGCAGTTRTTGCTGGTTCTGCTCACCTTTCAGACTGCCCTCAAAGCCACCTGAAGCATTCAGGTCCATCCCTTTATGTTCCTCTCCTAATCCGGGCAGTTCCGAGTGAATCGGCCTGAAATGGTTCCCAAAGCTCACATACAAGTGCATTAAGAGCAATTAGTTCATTAATCTACTCTCTGGTACCATGGATCTTCATCACTTCATTTTAATAATTTGTAGTAATTGACAGAGCAGACTCCCCCCAGTTCTCAGAGCTGAGTAATGCATAATTACTCTAAATCACAGCAAAAACTGTTTCACTGGGAAACACCTAATCCCATTACGCTCCTGGTGTCTCTTCTGAGGCTTCACACATGAAAGAAGCTGCAAACTCAGAATCATTAACCACAAATCAGAGGGACTCCAGGAGCCCCTGTGGGTTTGGCCCTCAGTGCTCAGGCTGGAGGTGTCTCTGGTTCTCTCTTTTCACAGAATCAGAGCACAGAACAGTCCCCAGAACACAGAACAGCCCCAGAGCACAGAACAGCCCAGAGCACAGAACAGTCCCCAGAACACAGAACAGCCCCAGAGCACAGAACAGCCCCAGAGCACAGAACAGCCCAGAGCACAGAACAGCCCCCAGAACACAGCACAGTCCCCAGAACACAGAACAGCCCCAGAACACAGAACAGCCCCAGAACAGCCCCAGAACAGCCCCCAGAGCACAGAACAGCCCCAGAGCTCCTCTGCTGCCAGGGACAGTGCAAAGCTGCAGCCAATGCCACCCTGCAGGCACAGCCTGATCCCCCTGGGCAAGGACAGTGATACCCACTGGTGGAACACAGTGATACCCACGGGGGGAACACAGCAATACCCACTTGGTCTGGTGTTTGGAGCCCTTCAGGTGTGCGTGGTACTGCTCTATGGAGTTGAGGGTGACATTGCAGGTGCTGCAGGTGTAGCTGCGCTTCAGGCCTGTGAAGAGAACCCAGAGAGTCAATTCACACTTGGCTGTGCCATGCACTGGGGTCCAGGGGAGCCCAGCTGGAACACAGGCTTTCAAAAAAACCCTTTGTCTTGTTTGGAACATCAGCTACACCAACAACCCCACTCTTCTCAAACACTTCATCATATCTCTCACCAGGAATTTGGCACAACATGAAAATCATCTTTAAATAATATYTCAGAATCATTCAGATGAGTGCTTGAAAACAACAAGCTAGCAACATTGCCGAGGTGTTTAAGTAGTTTCTGTATTTATGTGTCATGATGTGGCACAGAACAAAAAACAATTTGCAGATGTGCACATGGATTTTCTCCACACAGAATTTATTCCTGATGCAGCAGGGATGGGTTTAGTTTTGTCCACTGCTGGCAACTCCTGTTTCCTTTGTTAAASCAATGGGCATCAGAAGCTGCAGGGGAAGGGATGGAATGGGAAAAGGGCAGTGCACRGCTGGTACAGTGTGTCAGCACCCTGAACACACCGAGAGCTCAGACCACACCACCATCTCCACAAACAGGTAATATTTCATTTAAGGTAATAAGGCTCTGCTGCTCAGCCAATTTTGCAGCACATTAACAGCAGCCTCTGTGAATCTTAATTACTGGTGTAGGTGGAAACGCCTTCACGAATGCAGCTCCTAACTGGGGATGATGATTTTCTCCCTCAGCGTGTCAAGACTGCTCACAGTGATGAACCAGGAGGAACCCTGGTCCCCCTCCCTGTGCTCTGTGCAGGGGAACTCAGCGCTGCTCCCTGGTGCAGCTCCTTCCACAGCTGATTCCATGAACTGGGATGGAGAGAGAGAAAGGAAACCAGCCTCAAATGGACAGCAGGATGAGCCCACAGGCARCAATCACTTCCAGGATATCAAAATTAACAGAATTTTACCTCAGTGGAGCTCAGCAAAACTCTACTTGGCTGAAACTGGTTTCATAAAACTCCCCAAGCAGTGTGCTGGGGTTGAGCTCAGCCTAAAGGGCCATTAGGATGGGAAGTAGGCCCAGCCTAAGCACTCCACACTGGATGCTGCTGGGCTTGGGCTGCATTCACATCCTCTTCTGCATCCTCAAGACACATCAGCAGTGCCTCCCCTGCAGCGTGACATGTATTCATGTAAAATTGAATGTCCTCCTATCCCCATTAAATAAAATATTAACAAGTCAAGTTATTAATGTCATTCTGCATAAAATGCATTAAAATCCATTCCAGGGGAGTTCTTGTTAAACTGCTTCTTACTAACCACAAGTGACAGCACAGAATGAGAAGTATTTATAAGGCATACAAAGAAATCACGAGCTGAGATGAAAAAATGAAACTCAGGTCTTTGCCTGATTGTGGAAGAAAGCATCTGCAACACCACCAACCTACCTGAGARCACCAGGCTGCAGGTGCCAACAGCTCTGTGCCCTTGGCCATCTGTTCTGCAGAGGCTGCTGTGATTTATTCTGGGGCACGGGGTGCAGGTTTGGCTCAGCCCCAGCACCAGGCAGAGCCATCACAAATCACCTGCCCTGCAGAGCCCACCTGCCTTGGAGAGGGACTGGAGCTGATGGAGCAAACTGAGCGTTCCCTGTGCCCACAACAGGCTGGGGAGGGCAAAATCTGCCAGAGGGAGCCACATCAGTGCCTCCACCCGAGCCACGGGCACTCTGCTGCTGAGCAGAGCCTGGAATTTGGGGATTGGAACCCACCAGGCTTGGCATTCCTATAACCTGTGCAGGGAGCAGCCAAAGGAAAGGGATGTGTGTTTGTGACTCTCCTGTGCTGCAGCTTTAACTCAACACTGACTGCACAAACAATATTCATTTCTCCTTTTTTTTCCCTCTGCTCTTTCTTATTTCTGAGAAGAAAAYAAGACTTTAAAATTGCAGGATGAGCACTTGGTGAGAAGAATCAATGTTTTTGTTTCCTATAAATATCAATTGTCCAAAAATAAATCTCTATTCTTATTTCTTCAAATACACATTCATATTTATCAATAAATATTTTATTACAGCCATTATCAAAACATCAAAGGCTGCTGAAATGTTGTACTTCAACTGACACTGCTTGTTCCAGGCTCACACAATGCATCAAATGTTCGTCTCCCACACTAGTCAAAATAGAATTAATATTTAAGCAGTGATGGGAGAAGCCACCAGGGATGCAGAGGAAGGAGATGAGTTTGTGATCCAGGGAAAACTGAGGCAGAGCAGAGCAGAAGCACACGGGGACACGGATGCTGTGCTCAGCCCCAACASTGCCATTCCTGCTCCAGGGGTGCCCTGCACTCAGACACGGTGGCACCTGCCAGGGGAGGCTGTTTGCTCGGGCACAACGTGAGGATCATTCACTGCACAGACTGCTTCCAATGCCTGTAGAGATCTGCTCTAAAGACCCCTAAACCAGGGACACAYAGAGCCAGGACACAGCTCTGCTSYCCTACACCAGGGACACACAGARCAGGACACAGAGCTGTTCCCCTAAACCAGGGACACACAGAACAGGACACAGAGCTGCTCCCCTACACCAGGGACACACAGAACAGACACAGCTCTGCTGTCCTAAACCAGAACAGACACAGCTCTGTTGTCCTCTCTCCTGCACCAACAGATGCCAGCAGGGATCCAGTGCAATCCCCAACCACGCACAGCACCACCACGAAGGTAAAAACCAACAACTGATGAGGTTGTGAAGGCCTCCAATTTCMATTCTCCCAGGCAGGAGAATAAAACACTTCCCAATCGATTTATTTACAGTTAATGACATCCTCAGCCACTCTTGAGTTTGGCACAGTTCAAAGTACTGAGCATTTCCATGTTATTGTTTCAGGTTTTATTCCCACTTATTTCCAGTAGCGGGCAGTGACTCAGCCCACATGAATCATTGATGGAACTGTGAGTCACACTAGGTAGCTCAGGAGGATCTGGATAACCATTACAAGGTTTATGGGAGATCAAGAAATGCATAATATACAGCACAGTCATTAGTATCTAAAGAAAAATTATTTCATTTAACAAGGGAAAAAAAAAAAACCCAGGTGTATCAAAATGTTGTTGCAAAGCCTCACAGGCAAACCAGAGCTTTTCCCCGTAGCTCTGATCAAACTTGTCCTTCGTCCTCAGTCAGGTCCCTGTGTGCATATGGGATCATAACCCAGACTCGGTGCCTCTCCGTGCACACCCCTCAGAACAAACAGGTTCTTGTCAAGATTCAGTCCTGGACAATCCTGAGCTGACACAAACTCCCCCAAGAGCTCAGGGGATACTGGGGGCTGCAGCTGCTGAGATTACTGGGCTGACTGGGGCTGTGGCTCTGCTCTGCTCCAGAGCAGCTCCCAGAGGGGCCCTGACCCTCCCCAGCACGGATGGACTGACAGACAGACCAAGAAAGGCTGCTCTCCCTTTAGCAGGAGCACAAAAACTTGTGTTTAACATCCCTGCAGCAAATGCTGGGCTCCTCCTGCTGCTGACCCAGGGCCACCGCAGCACTTGGCAAGCACTAATTAAATCATGAAAGACACTTGTCCCCCTCTCCATCAGGGACATGTAGGGAGTGCTCTGCCTCCAGCAACATCCTCATCTGTGCTTCCACATGGGGTCAAGCTGTCCTGTATATATACAGTGGATATATGGTGGATATACAGTGTAYACATACTGTGTATGTACTGTGCTCTCCTCTCCCAGGGACAGCTCACACTGCTCAAGGATGGTGTGTGCACTAATGGAAGGAATTTTAGGAGGTGGCASAAGAGATAACCTGGGAAGCAACTCTGAAAGGATGCTGCTAAACTGCAGRCTGGCACCCCGGAGCAGGGGATTTTTTTATTTTTTTACAGAACAGGGAACATCTGGAAGCAGTAACAGCACCTGAGGCTCCCTGCAGCACTGGGACAGGGCAGGGTCCCTGGATCCCACAGGAACACGGTCCCCAWGTGCAGATCTCTCACCTCTCAGCTCCCCCAGGTCCAGGGTCTTCCCCAGCTGCTCCAGGAGGTCGGCCCTGGCCGCGTTCTTCTTGTGCTTTTTGCCCTCGTAGTGCTGCTGTGCCATCATGGGGTTGTTGAACCAGGCAGTGCAGAGCTGGCAGTAGCGATCCGAGTCCCTGCGCTGGGGCGGGCACGGCACCACCGGGGCACTGGCCGGGTGCGGGGGCTTCAGGGAGCCCAGAGCAGCTTCTGCAGGGAACATTCACACATGAGCCTTCCCAGGCTGCTGCTGCCTGAGAAACGTCAGAGCCCCAGGCAGATCCCACCTYAGACATGCAATAATTAGCTGCACTTACAGGTCCCGGTGGATATTTTGGTTTTGGATTTTTGCTGCTTGGAAAGCTACCACTTCTCATTAAAAAAAAGCATCGTGAAAGGACAGCCCAGGACTGTTCCTCAGCTTTCTGCATTTCCCTAACTGGGGAAGGAGGATGCTCTCAGTGCAGTTTCACGTCTYATCACTGCTCTGACTAAATCTGCTAAACTTATCCTGCTTCAATTGCTACTCCCAGGAAAAATCGTCAGTGGAGAATAAATATACCATGCAGAGCCATCTCCTTCTCAGGACAGAGAGACATATTTATCATTATCTCAGGATTCTTATTTTTCAATTTATTTGGTCTGAGAAAGAACAGGGAAAGCCAATAGTCATTGCAAACTGTCACAGATAAAAGAAAATACTCAATAGCCAGTCCCATCCTTCAAAGATCTTCACATTATGAATTATCAGGTACCAGCAACACACAGCCTTAATTCAATTCCATCTTCCTTCAGATTCACCCAAAGTCCATCCAGGAACACAAACACAACTGGAGTGCACTTTGACACAACTTCCCAACTTCATACCACACCAGTCACAAAACCATGGAAAAACAGTTTAAAGKAAAATGAAGTTCAGGTAACGCTGGGATACAAAAATATACAATGAACTAGCCCTTAATTATCACACCTCATTCAAAAATTCCCTTTTATGTGGCTTTTCTTTTCCAGATGAAATGTCTGCTCTCTAAATAATTAACAAGCTGCTCTCTGTGGCACTGGAATAGGCACATTTGGAGGTGGCAAGAGGAGCATTGTGGCTCCCTTTGATCAGGAGCTGATCCAGCTGAGCCCAGATGAGTGCACAGWGCTGCAAATGCCAAAGCCACCTCAGTGTCTGACACCAGCATGGCAACAGAGGGATATATTTAGACATATAATTGTGATTGACTCCATGGTTTGAGAAAGTTAATATTGTTATAAATCTTCTGCTGACCTGCTCAGTAAGGGACACCCTTCAAGGAAATCCTATCTTACATATAACATTACGTACAACCTTATCAATTTCCAGGGGTTTATGACCTTCTATTGTTTTTGATGATGGCTGCCAAGGTATCAAAGTTCCAGCAGCGATGATGCTGCCTTTGAAGAGCTGCTCCAGGCAGGGCCAGGCAGGCTCTGGCTGGATTTTRCTCCTAAAAAAAAAGTCTTTTCTATGGTTCCAGCAAGAGAGACACAGCCCAGTCCCTTCAAGGTGCATGCAGCAGAACTGCCAGTGGAAGCAAAGACAAAAGCCAGAGGYCAGCCAGTCATCAGGAAAAACATTGGGGAATTGCAATATTGCCTGTCCAAAGTGGGATTACACAGACTTTGCACGTGCTTCACTCACGRAAAGCAAGACTGGGACCCAGACTGTGCAGGACCCAGGACAGGGCTGAGCTGCAGGAATGTYTGAACCATGATAAACCATCAGTGATTTCGGCAGCCCAGGAGCTCTGCAGATCTGACTTGCTGCTCCACAAGCTGCAGGCTATAAAGTTAAAGCTATCCAATCTTTTGGTCAGCTTKCTCCTTGTTTCTGTGTCTGCTGCTGCCGGAGGGGAACCAGGGAGGCTGAAGCTGATGGAGCTGGTGGTGTCTGCAGGATTTACATCTCCTGTTCACTGAGGAAACCTGACAGGAGCAGCTCCAGTCCCAGCCCTGGCCAGCCCTGAGCCCCATGGAGAGGACTTCTGGTGGCTTCTGATCCCCAAACACCACACAGGAGAGAGAGGGGCTGCCAGGGGGACTGGCACTCCTGCTTCAGGG